GGGGGGGTAAGAGGTAAAGGGTTTTTTAAGGCTGGAAGCTGGTGTGGAGAGTTTCTGTGGTAGTTGGTTTCACCCGCTTCGAAGCATGGATAACGGCTTTGGAAAACACTGCCCTCGGCCGCAATGCAGGACGGGAAGGAGAGGGGGTTGGAACAAAGATGGAGTATTTCAAAGAAACTAAAAATACATCTTTGCAGTTGGATGACAGACTTTTTACGGGGAGAACACAGTCCTCAAGAATAAAAGCAAACAACAGCAAACATTCTCTGACACACACACACACACACCTCAGTAAAACAGCCAAACAAAAACAAACAAAATGGCAAACAAGCAAGTCAATCAAACCATACAAAGTGACATCAGGCCATCAAGTTTCTCTTTTTTAAATCCCATTCAATCCCACTGGTCTCAAGGTTAGGGTCCGCTCTGAAACAACGACGAGAACTGTGCCCGCCATTAAACCAAATGGTATGGCTATTTCAGTAATAATAATAACGTCAGTGACACAGGCAATGATTTCAGCAGCATTATCAGGGGACTAATCAAACATAGTACACTGTTACAGCACATTCAGAGAAGTAGAAACGCATGGCGCAGGACAGGTACAAAATGGCGTCTTGTACAACGGAGAACTCAAGTTTGCTTTATACAATCACATTTCTAGAGCGGCGCTGCACATTCCACATCCACTTTTTACATCTGCTGAGACTTGGGCACAGCTCATTTCATTGAAGCACCGTTGTACAGCTCACATGTGGTACTACACAGAACACAGAACGAGTATTTGGGAACAGTAAGCAGGCTCTAGGGCGATACATTTCTATGCGTCACTGTATGGATGCTAATCTCAATCAAATACACTGCAAACATTTTTTTCACGTGAATGACCTTCAACGGCCGTGTGTGGAGTTAGACAGGAAAAACCCGGATGAGTAAGAGGCAGAAAGAGAGGGCTGACGGAGGGGACCCCAACCCTGGTTTTTAAAGAAAGTGCCACTCTTGAGGAGAGGGATTCTGGAGGGCTTGAACAAACTAAAAGGCAAGGAGAGTGATACACCTCTCTTCCTTCTTTACCACTTCACTTACAGGCCAGGAGCGCTGGAGCAAAGAAAATAGTCCTGGAGTGCTGATTCCTCTCCGTAATCCTAAGAGTACTCCCCCCTTTCTCTACCTGGCCTCCTCCCTCCTGTCCTCCCTCTTGGTGCGAATGGGCTGCGAGCCGTCGGCCGGCTGCTGGACCCAGTTGTTGTCGTGGAGCCCGACCCGACAGCCCGGCGTGTCTTTGTCCGTCCGCCGGCAGCACATCCAGTAGGAGCGTCCGTAAGGCAGGTCGTGGTGGTAAGGTTTGGGGTGCCAACGACATAAAGAAACGTCCCCGCGCTCGTACTGCCGCTTGCACTGCTTGCAGGGGTCCTCGCGGTACAGAGGGTCTTGGTTCCAGCGCGAGTCCACCGCTCGAACCCCGTAGCTCTCGATGAGCACCTTGAAGTAGTGGCAGGTGCACTTGAGGGCGGCCAGCGAGCGCGTGGGCAGGTATCCGAAGATGTTCACCATGATGTGGTCGGGCAGCAGCAGCATGTACTGCCGCGGCTCCAGGAGGCGCTGGATCTGGAAGCGGATCTCCAGGAAGTCATGTGACACGTGGCGGTAGAGGCGACACAGCGAGGGGTCCGAGCAGTCGTCCACGGGAGAATCCGGTCGCTCCCCCGAGCCGACGGACACCCCGGGGCCGCCGCCGTTGTTGTTGTTGTTCGCACAGTCCAAAGAGCAAATCCCCGACCCACCGCCACCACTCGTTCCTTTTGAATCCTCCTCTGGACCCCGTGGAGGCTGCAGGAAGAACAGCTGTCCGGGAGGGGGGTCGTCTGATGAAGGGTCTGAGGAGCCGCCCCCTCCACTGGGCAGAGCGAAACACACCGTCTCCTCCTGCACATTCTCCGTACTGTCTTTACCGTAAAACACACATTGGTCCACAGCGCCCGTCACCACCACCTCCACGTGGAAGCCGGTCACTCGCTCCCTCCCCATCCCCGAGGACTTCTTCTCCTCCTGGGTGGGGTCCGGACTGCCGCAGCTCGGCCTGTCCGGGTGATGGAGGTCTCCGTCTGGTTTGGGGGCGGCGGAGGTGGCGGCCAGCAGCAGACTCCCGGGGTCTCTGGAGGAGGGGCTGACCAGCTGGTAGAGGTCGCAGGTGATTTTCTCTTTGGCCCTGGCTGCCGCCTGGCTCCCCCCCCCTCCCCCACAGCTCATGAACATACATCGGGACCTTCCAGCCGGCTCTAACTGAGACCGGGGGTCCATGTTCGACACTCGGAAAGCTATTCTGACCTCGCCGTGACTGTGACTGGGGGGCGGAGGAGGGGAAGCGACGCCGGACTCCCCTCCTCTCCGACGCTCGCTCTCTGGATGGACAGAAGAGTCTGTTTCGGGTCCCAGATGGAGCCGGTTCTCCTGGTTCTGGGACTCAAAGTGCGCGATGGCCTGGGCCACCCTGAGGGACTCCTGCTGCTGCTGCTCCTCCAGCTCCTGGTCCGTCTGGATGGGGGACGATGACTCTTTGGAGGGATGGTCAGTCGAACTGTCCGACACGAACACGATGGGGCTGGGGTCGGACACGGTGCCCCGCAGCAGAGTGTGAGGGGTGAGACCCTGAACGTTAGGACACTGACTCTGAACGGCCACGATCCCCTGGAGGGCCATCGCTGTCCTCTGCTCCACGAGGGCCACCATCTCTGCCACCGACAGCAGGTCCGTCTCGCTCACCCCCCCCAGAGGAGGCTCGTCGGGGCTCGGGGAGGAGAGAGGGCATTCGTGGCTGAGGTTCAGCTCCGAGGCCTGGGAGCGAGTCGGAGGGTCGTAGGAGGAACACCGTCTTCTTCTCTTGGCTTTACTGCAGTCCGTCGCCCAGTTACCTTTCACCTGTGGAGGAGGGAAAAGGATGAATGTGTTGTTTTAAATAACCAAAGTTAAACCTAAGGAAGCACCAGATATTTGTCCGACACATTTTCACCAGATAATAGGAAACTTATATTATGTAAACTTGCAATATTGAAACAATAGCTGAAGGTTAAATTCCTTTGATTGACTTAACTGGTGCAGTACCTACACCTCCAATACAGTAGGAGGCGCTATGCACTTTTAGGGTAGGTTTACGATCCGACAACAAACACAGAGAAGAAAGAATAGAGAGGCGAAGTCCCTCCCTTTCCGGGGGACCTCCATGGGACCTTATATCGGAAAAAGTACGTATTGAAGTCAATGGCGAGAGAAAAGTTATCTTTTGATCCCGTTTGAATTGTGCCACGAATTACACATATGATGTTTGTCAATTTAAAAGATAATTTTGCAAGTCAAATGAACTACATCTCCCATCTCGCACCACACACCAAGACGGCCGTCACGTTGGCACATTTCACTTCTTTCTTTCAGAATGAGGCGGAAAGTATTAAAAGAGGTGAAAATCACTCCAAGTCTGGGCATGTTGAGAGCTGTACATACACACAAGGGGAGTTAGTCGGTTCCTAAGAGTCAGCATGCGGGACCGGGATTCTGGGATTTGTAGTCTCTTATATTTCAACAGTTTTACAACAAACTGTGGCTTTTTTGACATGCAAATGTTTTTTTAAGAAACAAACATGTGTAATTCGTGGCACAATTCAAACGGGATCAAAAGATAATCTTTCTCTCTCCATTGACTTCAATACATCATTTTTCTGAAATACGGTCCCATGGGGCGGAAGTAGATGGGCAGGACTTTGCCTCTCTATGACTGTAACATGTGTATTTTTCTGTTTCAAGGAAAGACAACAAGATTAAAAACAATCTTTAGGTTTTTAACATGTTTAAAGTGATGTTGAGGTCAGAGCTGTAAAATATTAAAAGTTTTCATTTTTTCTGATGTCTACTTTTTTTTGTCCTCAGCTTAGCATTAACTAGATTTGGAACTTAAAAGCTTAAAATACACATTTGTGAAATGGGCCATTATCTTTCCTGTATCGGCCATGAGAACCCAATTCCAATAAATCCATACCGTGCATCCATCCTCTTTTTATAGTCAACTCTCTAAAAGAACATGTCTTTACCTTCATGGTGCTGGGTCGTGGCTGCCCTGCCCCGCTGAACTGATGAGCCACGAAGAAGGCGATCTTCTCCTTGGTGTTCCCCGGCTTGATGACGTACCAGGTGTCTAACAGCACGCGGCCATCTTCCATCTGGGACCCCGAGGAGGGCGGCGACGGAGGGTCCGAGGAGGGCAGAGGGTCCTGGCTCTGCGACATGGAGCCCTCGGGTTCGGGGGGAGTGTTCTCCTCCCCTGCATCCTCCGCTTCTCCATCCTCCACACCCACTACGATGCCTCCATCTTCGCTCCTCGAGGAGGGCTCAGCTTTGCAGAGGTTGGGGGTCCCCGTCCCTCCTCCACTTCCTACTCCCCCACTTCCTCCTCCTCCGCCTCCTCCTCCTCCCCCGCTGCCCCCTGAGCCTGGGCTCCTAGCTTTGTTCTGGGAGTAGGTGCCGAAGGGGCGGGGGCACCACAGGCGGATGTGGGAGAAGGTGTCTCGGTCCATCAGGATGAGGAGGACCACCGGGACATGTCGGCGTCTACGCTGGCCAGCAAACACCCAGAGCCAGAGCTCTCATGGTGGGGGTCGCAGTGCCAACCTGACGGGTCAGCGGCAACACGGAGCATACAACCTGCAGCGAGAGGGGGGGGGGAACAGGCGGGGGAGGAATGAAGGGAAAGAGAGAAACAGTTAAACAATGTTTTTTAGTTTTCTATTTCTTTGTTATGTTAAAAATCCTAATTTAAAAACATATACATATTTTTCTATAGGTTCCAAAAGAAAGTGGCAGTCATATGTGGAAATTATTATTATACATAACTATTTTTAGACGTTCTGAGACTCTGAAAGTTTTGTAGGGGGATATTTTCATATATAAGCTATTTATAAGCTTTCTATCCTCCCACTTCAGATCATTTTGTTTTCATGTACCTTATCTGCAGTTAGGGCCGCTCAATTAATCATATTTTTAATCACGATTACGATTATGGCTGGCAACGATTACGAAAACAACCTAATCGAAATAAAACGATTATTTTTAAATTATTATTATTACTTTTTTTTTAATTATTATTTGTTTTTTTTTGTTTTTTCAGTTGAGTTATACTTAAAGTTCAAGGTAATCAACTGTTAAAAAAATACTGTTCACATTTTCTTTCTCCAATAAATGGATGTTTTCAAAGTCAATGAATAATCACATTTAATAATCGCAAGTACAATTATTGACCCAAATAATCAAGATTATGATTTTTGCCATAATCGAGCAGCCCTATCTGCAGTTACATTGAAGTAGTGGATACAAAATAAGAGTTTGTACAGCAACAATTCTCAATAGAGCCGGGATCAGTTCAGGAAATCAATGCTCAATTGTGGCTGTGTCGAGTAGATGCCTGGAGGTACAAATACAAAAGCTGTACACTGTAGAGAACACACACACATATATATATATAAATATATATATCATGGTACTACAAACTGAACCACTGGCCTGCCTGCTACTTTAGCCAAACTCAATTAGCCCTTACATTCACTACTGTATACTATGATCGTCTCCCGGCTTTAGAGCGTCTCAACCAAATTAAAGGGATTGCATTTCAGGTTTAGTGTCTGCGGCCGGGACATGAAAGGGATGAAGGATGCAACACAAATGAACTCTCCCCTCTCTCCCCCCTGCATCTCAGAGCTTCAAAGAGGACTTGCTTAATAGGAGGCAACACAGGGAGGAGCATGCAGACATATGCTGGACCTATTTTTAGCTCACAGCAGGAGGGGGTTGGTAGTAGGGAAACTGCTGTAGCCGTCCTGCCTGTCCTCACCCCTTTCTCCCTGCCAGAGAGCCTAGGCTACAGGCTGGGGGGGGAGGAAGGGGGAGGATTTGAAGTCCACCCAGTATGCTTCTGCAGCTCGAGCAGCTGTAGGGGCTGCCAGGAACGTGCCGGAGAACTTAAGGAGAGAAACAAGTGGCGAGGGAACAACATGGTTGGCTCACCGCTGATTTGAATGCCTGCCAACAGCCTGACATTTCTTTTTCATATCAACTTTCAACGACTCTTAACCGAGCAATTTCACACTTTAGATTAGTTGCAACAGCCTGAGACCAGTGCACGTCAGTATTAAACTACTGCAGGTCAAGACCAAAGCAAATCAATTAAACCAATTATGAACACAAGGTCTCAACTTAGCGATTAGTCAATTGACAAAAATATTATTGGCATTTTTTTGATAATACTTGTTGTAAAGTTCATGGCAGAAAACGCCATTTCTCAACCTCATACTTTGAGAAACCAGGATGGAGATTTTCAAGTATTTTTATACCTTCTAAATCCAAGCGATTATTAGATTTATGTAGAAAATAATCGGCTAAATAATTTGAAGAAATGAACCAGCCACTCAAACCTTTGCATAGTTCGATATAAACGTATGTTATATTCTCCCACAGGGTGGTATATATTGCAAACATGACTTTCAGACTGTGGGTGTTTCTCAATGTCAAGGAAGGATGCTCCAGAGCCACTATTTCAAGGATGCTACGTCATTGAGTCCCGCTGAAGGACTGTTCCAATGTCCAGGCTCCTTGGAATTCTACCGAGCCCGGCGTCCTTCGTAGCGTGAAATTTCGAGGCTGCACATGTGTATCCTCCGCGGTCTTAAAATCCCCACAATGCTTTGCACGGACCAATTTCCAAAATCTGTTGCGGAAGATGTAAGGTCTCCTGACGCACACCTGCATACTTGCTCGCTTGTTCCACTCTTCGTTTTCCGAATGCCAGGAAGGATTCTTGCCTAGCTTCTGAAGGAAGTGACTCGGAAGACATGTGCTACAAAGGAAGCGTCCTCGACATTGAGAAACACCCCCTGTTGACAAGACAACATCTAGTGGTTGGCATCAAGTGAAGAGGCTTGTTAACATTTGTATTTTCGTATATTGACTAAAATGGGGAGAACAACAAAAAGTATACATCGCTGTGGGACAACTTCTCCTTGTAAATGACAACAAACAATTCAGCTACAGCTTTCTTTTGTGTCTCATCATCTCTACAGGTCCAGACATTCTGGGTGTTTCTCAATGTCGAGTACGCTTGCTTGGTAGCACATGTCTTCCGAGTCACAAGCGCTTCAGAAGCGAGGCAAGAATCCTTCCTGGCATTCGGAAAACGAAGAGTGGAACAGGCGAGCAGGTGTGCGTCATATGAGAGGCCCCGCCTTACATTTTCCGCCACAGATTTGGTCAAATTGGTCCGTGCGCAAAGCATTGTGGGGATTTAAAGACCGCGGAGTCTACACATGTGCAGCCTCGAAAGTACGCCGGCCTCGGTAGAATTTCAAGTACAGGGTTCATACACTTTTTCACCAATGATTTTCAATGACTTCTCCAGGACCTTTACCTAATTTTCCATGACCAAAAAAATTACTCTTTCTCAGCGGTACCACTGAAAATGGTTTATTTTAACATGGAACAGGAAAATAAGGTCTGCATATGAAACATGTTGTGCCTATCTAAAACAGATCAAATAGTAGGCTTACTAGCTTCTACACGCTAAAGCAACTAAAATCTCTCACCAGCAAAACACCTCGACAGTTAAATGCCATTTTACATTTCATTACTATACGATACAGTATTTATTATCATTATAATATTACTATTTTGGCGATTAGATCAAATATAAATTATATTTGATGCAACTTTTCCAAAACTTTGGGAAAAATATTGTTTTCCATAACTTTTCCAGGGCCTGGAATTAGCGTTTTGAATTTCCATGACTTTTCCAGGTTTTTAATGACCGTAAGAACCCTGCAAGTACGCTGGACATTGGAACAGTCCTTCGGCGGAACTCGTTGACGTAGTATGCTTGAAATAGTGGCTCTGGAGCAGCTTTACTCGACGTCGAGAAACACCCAGTCACCCCCAGGCAGAGCTTCATTCGAAAAGAAAAACATCCATCGGTTTCTTTGACTAACTTCCTCTTATGCACTTGTACATCTTTGAATGTGGCAGCAACTTGACAAAAGCAACAGTTAAAATTGGCTCAACTTGATGTGTAAGGGAGGCGTGTGGTGCAGTGGGTTGTGCGTTGGTGTTCGGATCAGGGGGCACAGGTTCAAACCCCACTGCAGTCAGCATGTCGTTGTGTCCTGAGACACTTCACCCAATTGCTCCTGTG